CCTCCTGGCCTCGGAGCGGGATGCCACCTAAGAGGATTTGGCATCGACCAAAGTACAGCTCCGAGTGATGAGACAAAAAGCCAACAAATAGTCTCGCCTAAATGAGGAGCTCCAGACGAAACTCGACTCAACCGTTATAGAACGGGATGCTCTCAGCCAAGAATACACCGCGCTAAAGTCCAAATTGGAGGCGGCTTCAAACGAGGCCTCCGAAGTTCAGGACATATTAGCCCAGTACACAAATGATGTGGAGGTAGCCAAGGCCCGTGTAGTAATGATGTGGCTGTCTCGAAGAGAGACCCTTGAGGAGATCTATGCCCGGGGGATTGACCTAGAGGTCGAGATCGAAGAGGCGAAGAGGCTTGAAGCCGAGGCCAGAGCGAGATACCAGCCTGATGGTTCGAGCAGCGAGTCGGGCTCCGATGAGGACTAAGCAAGAAACGCCTTAGTTTATTTTTTGTTCTTTCTTGTAGCTACAAATTTTGTATTTTGGGGACGTTTCATAGCGCCTCTATAAATACCTTTTGGTATATATCCATAAAAAAAATTCTTCGGCTATACATTATGTCCTTTACTTTTCTGTATTTGCTTATGTTTAAGAGTTATAACTTGTGTTTTGGACTTCATAATATGCTATCGATGCCTTACCATAGAATTTGACATCACTTAAACTGTTTGTTCACCCAAAGTCCGGATGAGGTCTGGAATAAGCAATAACTCCGAGTTGCTTTGACTTCGGAGGACCCGATAAAAAACGAAGTCTTTGTTAAATTTTTTGAACGTTTTAACCGGACACAATTATTTTTTGCCGAAGGTGGCTCTTTTCACGGTCGTAATTCGAGACCGAGTAACTTAACAAGGTCTGAAGTAATTTTTTTTTGGATTAAAAATATGTAAGGACCTTACTTTTTAAGTACGAACTCAAACGTCTCCGAGCCGTTTAAGTTGGACGTGGCCTTTCATGTTTGGGCCCTGCCTAGTAGGCTTGGTGCCTTCGAGATTTAGTCGCCCAAGTTTCCCGATCTTATCATCGGGTAGCAGTCCCAGGTTCGAGGAGGCCCGTAAGCTTAAGGGTTTTGAACCTAATATTCATTCTAAGTAACTTACTGATAATATTTCTCGTGAAAACGTGAACCAATGAAACATATAAGGCAAAATTCTATTATTACTTTGGATGTCGTGTGAATAATCGATGGTACAAAAGCTATCTGCCCTGGCGAGAATGAGCTATGTGGGCACGGTTCATTTGACCGTTTGACCCTAAAAATTAATTCTAATGTTCAAACCTTGGCTTTCAATATCGAATAGGAATGCCTTCTAAATTTCCGAACTTAGGACTTTGGTTCTTGACTTAGGGCATGATGGCCCCTAGTATTCGAGACTGAATTTTGAGGGCTCGAATACTATTGATCTGATACGGAGGATCCGAAATCCCCATCTTAGACCGATCTTCAAAACTAGGGTAGCACGCTTACTGTTGCCTCGTTAAAAATCTTGCCGTAAAACCCAATTCGGGAAAAAATCGATCCAAGGGAAAAAGAGTACAACACGTGCTTTCAGACCTAATCCTTAGATTTGACCTCGACTGAGTACCTGCATGGGTTATTCAAAGCGTAATAAACCACAAGGAAGATTGTGTTCATACCTTAGCAGTAGTATCGCTTTAAGTGTGCCACATTTTAGTTGTTGGGTAGTTGTACACAATTTCCGGACTCGAGCTGGTATGAGCCTTTCCTAGTAATACCAATGACTCTATACGGTCCTTCCCAATTTTGACCTAGTTTCCCGTCATTCAGGTTCTTGGTATGTATTTTCCTCATTACCAAATCCCCTACTTGGAAGTGTAGAAGGTTTTCCCTTTGATTATAGTATCTCCCCATTCATTGCTTTTGAGCTTCTAATCGGACTAGGGCGGTTTCTCGCCTTTCGTTCGCTAAATTTAAGTTTTTAGACATGGCCTCGTCGTTGACGTCTCTGTAGCATATTGGAGCCTTAGGCTCGGTTCTATTACCTCTACCGGAATCAAAGCTTCTGCGTCGTAGACTAGAGAGAACGGTGTTTTACCGGTACTCAACTTCGAAGTTGTTCGATATGCCCATATGACCTCGGGCAAAATTTCTTTCCATTTTTGTCTTGAGTCGGTCAATATCCTCTTCAAGTTCTGCAGTATAGTCTTGTTTGTTAACTCCGCTTGACCGTTCGCACTTGGGTGGTAAGGCATTGATAAAATCTTTTGATTTTGTTGTCTTCAAAGAACTTATTAATTTTACCGCCGATGAACTACCTCCCGTTATCACACATTATCTCGGCCAGTACCACAAACCGACATATTATAGGGTCCCAGATGAAGTCGATGACTATCTTTTCCCTAACTTTCTCGAACGTCTGCGCTTCAATCCATTTGGAGAAGTAGTCGGTCATAAGTAAGATGTACTGGGCTTTGCCAGGTGCCCATGGTAAGGGACCTACGATGTCCATTCCCCATTTCATGAACGGCCAAGGGAAAAGAACCGGGTGAAGCATCTCTCCCGGTTGGTAGATCATCGGGGCGTGCATTTTACATTCATTACACTTTTGAACAAATTCTTTCGCATCCTTTTCCATCTCTTTCCAATAATACCCGGCCCTAATCAATTTTCGAACCAAGAATTCCGCCCCCGAATGGTTTCTGCAAGTACTCTCGTGGACTTCCCTCATCACATAGTCGGTCTCCCCGGGACCCAAGCACCTCACTAACAGTCCGGAGAATGATCCTCAGTATAGTTTTTCTCTAACCAAGATAAACCTGGCAGCCTTAATTCTCAAGGCCCTCGATTATTTGGGATCCAATGGCACTTTCCCTTTTTGAAGGTAGTCGTATTTGTTTCTCCAATCCCAAGTCAAGCTTGTTGATTTTACCTCGGCCTGACCTTCCTCTACCACCGAGTTCATCAATTGCACCACCACTCCGGAATTAAATTCATCGGAGTCGACTGACGACCCTAGATTAGCCAATGCATCGACCTCGTTATTCTGATCTTGGGGTACATGCTGTAGAATCCATTCCTTGAACTGATGTAATGTCACTTGCAACTTGTCCAAGTATCTCTGCATCCAGTCTTCTTTTACTTCAAATGTCCTATTGACTTGGTTAACAACGAGGAGGGAGTCGCACTTGGCTTTGACCACCTCTGCCCCTAGGGTCTTAGCAAGTTCTAGACCTGCAATCATAGCCTCATATTTGGCTTAGTTGTTAGTCAATTTCACAGTTCTAATAGATTGCTTTATTACATTACCCATGGGTGGTTTTAATATGATTCCCAACCCAGACCCTTTCGCGTTAGAAGCACCGTTTGTGAATAGGGTCCAGACCCCCGAGCTAGTCCCCGAGGTAAGCAATAATTCTTTCTCGACCTCAGGGATCAAGGCCGACGTAAAGTCAACCATGAAGTCTGCCAAAATCTAATATTTTATGGATGTTCGAGGTTTGTACTCAATGTCGTACCCGCTAACTTCTACAGCCCCATTTTGCTAGTCAACCCGAGAATTCGGGTTTATGCATAATGATCCTTAGCGGGTACGAGTTCATGACACATATGGGGTTACACTGAAAGTGCGAATTTAGTTTCCTAGATTCGCTTAATAAGGCGAGGCTAATTTCTCAACGTGTGGATACCTCGTTTCAGTATCACCTAGGGTTATACTAACATAATAGATAGGAAACTGCATACCTCTTCTTCTCGGACTAGGACCACACTTACCACGACCTCGGAGACTGCCAAGTAGACGTATAACTGCTCGTTCGCCTTCAAGGTGTGCAACAAATGAGGGCTTGATAGGTATCATTTGAGTTTTTCTAAAGCCTGTTGACATTCTAGGGTTCAAGAGAAGCCATTCTTATTCTTTAGTAATGAGAAAAATCGGTGGCGTTTGTCTAGCAACCTCGAAAGAAATCGGCCCAATGCGGCCATCCGCCCGGTCAGTCTTTGTACCGCCTTGACGTTGTCAACTACGGTGATATCTTCTATGGCTTTTATCTTATCCGGGTTGATCTCTATTCCTCGGTTAGACCCCATGAAACTAAGGAACTTGCCTGAGCCGACTCCGAAGGCACACTTCTCAGGGTTCAGCTTCATGTTGTATTGCCTCAGTATGTGGAAGGTTTCCTGCAAATGTTTCAAATGGTCCTCTGCTTGCAAGGATTTAACTAACATATCGTCAATATAAACCTCCATTGATTTTCCTATTTGTTCCTCGAATATTCGATTAACTGGGCGCTGATACGTAGCACCAGCATTTTTTAATCCAAATGGCATTAAGTTATAACAATAGGTGCCTAATTTAGTTATAAAAGAAGTCTTCTCTTGGTCACCTGGGTCCATTCGTATTTAATTGTACCAGGAATAGGCATCGAGAAAACTCAGTGTCTTGTGCCCGACCGTTGCATCGATCATTCGGTCATTGTTAGGCAAAGGAAATGAATCCTTCGGGCATGTCTTGTTCAAGTCTTTATAATCTACACACATTCTAAGCTTGTTTCCTTTTAGGATCTCGGGACCCTGAAATTATCTACCTCATTCGTTGAGTGTTCCTCCCATTTCTGCGGCCCGATCAGGGTCGGGATCGGTGATTGCTATTTGGTGCCTATCTCCTTGACCGATCCCTCACTTTTTGATGTTGTGATTGCAGGCATTGGGATCACTTCCTCGACGGCGCACATTTCCTTTGCAGCCGGTTGTTCCCCGTTGACCGTTTTAATTCCGCCTGAGGTTGGAAACCTCAACGCCGGATGAAAGGTCGAAGGTGCCTCTCTCATGATGTGGACCCGTGGACTCCCGAACAAGGCATTGTATATCATGTCCCCTCGATTACATAAATTTTGTTTCCTGGTTAGTCCCAACTGTGTTGACCGGTAGGGTGATTTCGCCCTTCATTGTCTCGCATGTCATGTTGAACCCGTTCAATACTCGTAATGCCTGTACGATTTGGTTCAATATCCCTAGTTGTTCCACGACTCTCTATTAGATGATGTTGGCTGAGCTGCTTGGATCAGTTAACACACGCTTAACTCGAGATTTATTAATAAGTACGAATATTACCAGTGCATTATTGTGAGGCTGAATAATGCCCTCGTCGTCCTCGTCGCTGAACGAGATGGACCCCTCCAAAACATAGTCCCGAATGCATTTTCCCCTTGTAATAGAAACTTTGGTGCGCTTTACCATTGGCCCTTGTGGGACATCGACTCCCCCAATGATCATGTTGATCACATGTTGAGGTTCATCCTGCTCAATTTGTTTGTTGGCGTCCCTATTTTTGAAATGATTTTTGGCTCGCTCACTTAGGAATTCCCGAAGATGCCAATTGTTGAATAGACGAGCCACTTCTTCCCTTAGCAGTCGACAATCCTCGGTCCTGTGACCATGAGTACCTTGACATTTGAATATCAAGTTGCGATCCCTCTGTGCGGGATCGGACTGGAGTGGCGTTGGCCATTTGGTCTCCTTGATAGGGCCGATGGCCGACACTATACTCGCTGCATCCAGGTTGAAGTTATATTCTGATAGTCTTGGGGTTTCTCTGCCCCCGAGTGATTTGTCGAAACCATTCATACTCATCAAACCTCGATTGCTAGGACCTTGGTCGCTTCTCCTATCGTTCCTAGTCGGGTGGCGGTCGAGTTTGTTTCCCCTTCTATCCGAACTCTCTAGCGGTGCCGATCTCGGGATAGCCTCGACTCCTGATCCATAATTCTTTTAGACATGTCGTTCGCTCTACTGGGGTAAAGAGACCCTGAAGGAGCTCCCAGTTGGTCGTCCACGACCCTGATCTCGCTTCTTTGGATAAGGTTTCCCTAAATTTTTCAGCAGCATCGACTCGATCTCGTCATCGTTATTGCCTTTTATTGCACACACGTAGGAGGTTACATGGTCGTTTGGATCCATGGTCCTGTTATATTTGGGAATATCGAGCATTCAGAATCTTTTCGGAATTGGCTTCAGTGCCACACTCGGGGTTCTGATGAACCTTTTGGAATCCGGTCCTTTCAATATTGGAGGCACCCTGGGATCTGATCGACCTTCGAATTGTAATTCTCCACATTTTTGTCATTTTCCTCTATATTCTTTTCGCCGGACTCTACTCGTTGCTTTAGTGCTTCTAGCATCTTCATCACCTCGGAAGTCGCTCCAGGTTTGAAACCATCTGGTCCTATGACAATCCGTTCGTCTCTCCGAGCATCTCCCCTGACCTGCTTGGGTTCGGCCATGTTCTGTGCGTGATTGTTTCTTTGCAGTTGTGCTATTTCCACTTCCTGAGCTTGTAACATTTCAAAAATATATCGTAAGCTAACTCCGTCACCTCCCCCTTCGGGCGCTTTTCGAGCTGATTGCCGAGGTGCTCTGCGAATGCTATTTTCGAGATCAATTGGTAGGTTGACATCGATGGCAACCTGTGAATTGGAATCGAATGGGTCAGCGACTGGAACGCCATAAGGGTCAATTGGGGGCATGACATTGCTTGGTACCACGTTATTATTTTCACCGTGGTGGCCTGACTCGATGTAACGTTCAAGTGAGCTGACTGAGAATTTGACATTTTTGAATGGCCGGGTAATCAAACTTCAAAGAGCAAATGTAAAATAGGGTGTGTTATAGAGATTCATATTAAATCACCACTATTATCCTTAGCCGCACGGTAGGCGCCAAACTGTTTACCCTTAAAATGAGTAACAATTGAATCTGTACGCGGTTTAAATGATACGTGATTCAATTTAACACGAATGATCTAAGTACAATAAATAATTAAATTAAAGGGAAACAAGACGATCAAACCAAACGTGATGAACAATTAATCCTGGCTTTAAGATGAACACTGAAAACTGGTTCCGATCAAGCCCTCGAGATAGGCTCGATTGCAACTAAAGAAATCACTAGCTGAAGAATATTTTGAACAATAGCTAGAAGACAAAAATGAACTTTATTTCTTTGATATACCTGCCAACAATGGTTTTAAAAATGAAAAGGTTCTCCCTTTATATAGTAGGGGAATTTCAGTCCTAGTACAAATCTAAATAAGGTAAAAACCCATCTGTTCTAGTAAATTATGATCCGCAGCTGATATCGAGCGAAATTCATACCATAATAGCCAGTTGATAGCGGATAATTTTGGCCCCTCGTTCGTTCTTTCTAACCGTTTTCCCTTAAGCCTCGATTCTTTGTTTTGCTCGAGCTTGATACCCTTCATGTTCGATCATGCCCGAATCTCAGTGCGTTATTTGTCTGCCCGGGCTCTGATCTGGGGAACCCTCAGCTTTACCCGAGCCTGCGATGAACCACGTCGTCTCCTATTTCATCATCGGGAAATCAGGGATAACTATATCCCCGACTTTACCCTTACACATTTATCTTGTTTTCGAATGAGTTTAGGAGTTTTCTTTAATTAAAGTATACTTTTATACGTTTTTAAAGTGTTGGATTCTCCAAAAATAATGCATTTTAGAGGATCCGACACGAGTACGATATTATTTTGAAGAACCCGCACAACCTAGCCGATTATTATACTATGAAGAGTTGAAATTTTGATAGCTTTCTTTCTTTTTGTATGCGTTTTCAATCTCTCATTCAATTACATAATAACCGAGGCCAGAAATCTGATTCCGATTTTCAAATAGCTTTACAATATATTAAATCTTTTTTTGTCAACTAAGGACAACTTATGGTGACTGTCTCCACCGGAATTCCCACCTTCGGGACCGTGATGGCGCCTAACATTTCACTTGCTAGGCAAGCCAACGTTAGAGAATTCTTTAAGCCAATTTAACCAATTCTAGTAAAAAGATCAATTAATCCAAAATAAAACTAAAACTGAGTGCGGAATAATATAAAAGCCAATAATATCGAGTACAACCCGAATCTGGAGTCACAATTCACGATCTCCTAGAATTTTCTACAAACAAAGTCTGAAAAAAATACAACTGTCTTGAACGAAAAGTAACAGTAAAATAGGGGAAATAGAAGGGGACTTCAAGGTCTGCGGACGCCAGCAGATCTACCTCTCCAATAAGCAAATCCAAGCTATTGTGCCTCACGAACAACTGAGGCCAGTACCAAATCTGCACAAGAAGTGCAGAGTGTAGTATGAGTACAACCGACCCCATGTACTCCATAAGTGTCGAGCCTAACCTCGACGAAGTAGTGACGAGGCTATGACAAGATACCCACGTAAATAGCCTGTGCAGATAATAATGTACGTACAAGATAATAACAGATAAAGGCTATACATATACTACTGGGAGGGGGCGTGCAAAAGGGGTACAAGATACGATAAAGTACAGCAGGAAAAGATAACCAGAACAGTCAATGTGCCTTTAAACAGTAAAACCGATAAACATAATGAATAAAAACTGCAAGAAATCACCCTTCGTGCTTTTACTCTCATCCTCACAATGGAACGATAATACTGCACGGCATCACCCTTCGTTCTTTTACTCTCACTCTCGTCATAAATCAATAGATACGACACGGCATCACCCTTCGTGCATTAACTCTCAAAATATGGCACGACATCACCCTTCGTGCATTAGCTCTCACAATATGGCACGACATCACCCTTCGTGCATTAGCTCTCACAATATGGCACGACATCACCCTTCGGGAATTAACACTCAAATACGGCACGACATCACCCTTCGTGCATCAACACTCTCCCTTACCATATAACAATGAACATATAACAGTAGGGAGATAGAATGAACATGAACAAGCCTTACGTCAATATGGTTCCACAATACCAACCTCAACTTTAGAAACAATACTCAATTATCACAGAAACCCATAAACGCGGAAAGAATGATCAATTTGATAAGTAACTAGTCTAAGCGTGGATCACATGGTCAAAGTAGGCAATAAATTACAAGGAATAACTTCCACCCGCATGCTTTAACCCAACTACAACGCATAAGTACTCGTCACCTCACATATACGTTGTACGCAACACCTAAACATGTAGCAAATAAGCAAACAAATCCTAATCCCTCAATTCAAGGTTAACCACGACACTTACCTCGCTCCAAAGATCAACTCAAAGCTCAACCACAACTTTTCCTTTCAAACAAGCCTCCGAACCAATAGAATCTAGCAAATTACCAACCAAACAATTCACATTAAGCCTTAGGAACTACCTATGATTGCAAAAGATTCAATTTAGGTCGTTATTGAAAAAGTCAACAAAAGTCAACTCTCGGGCCCGCTTGGTCCAAACTCGAAATTCGGACCAAAATCCGATTACCCATTCACCCGGAGCCCGGTTATATAATTTGTTTTTAAATCCGACCTCAATTTGAGGTCTAAATCCCCATTTTACGAAAAAATCCTAATTCTACCCAAACACCCAATTTCCACCATGAAAATACTAGATTTAGGTTGAAATCTTATGAAATGTAATGAAAGATTGAAAGAAAATAGGTTAGAATCACTTACCAATAATTTGGGGAAGAAGGGTTCTTGGGAAAATCTCTTCTAGGATTTTCTTGTTTTAAAAATTTGAAGAATGAGAGAAAATCATGTTTTTAAGCTATTTGCCTCGTCGCAGATGTCGCATTTGCAACCTGGGGCTCGCAAATGTAAGTCGCAATTGCAAGTCTCTCCATTTCTTCTTTCATCGCAATTGTGATGAATAGTTCGCAATTGCGAACAGTGGGCCCTCCGCAAATGCGACCAAAATGATCGCAAATGCGAATAAGCTCTTCCCAGCCCCACTTCGCAAATGCGAAGTCTTGTTCGCAAGTGTGAACTTGAGGCGCCCATGTTACTCTTTGCAAATGCGAGGAGTTGCTCGCAAATGCGAACCTAACAGAGGTCGCAAGTGCGAAGCCTGACCTTGCAATTGCGAGGTCTGAGGCCTGCACTAGAACTGAAACACACCAGCACTTTCCTAAGTCCAAAATTACTCCGTAGCCTATCCAAAACTCATCCGAGCCCTTGGGGCTCCAAACCAAACGTGCACACAAGTCCAAATAATCATACAAACTTGCTCGCACGATCAAATCGCCAAAATAACACCTAGAACTACGAATTGAACACCAAATCAAACGAAATTTTCAAGAAAATTCATGAACTTTTATTTTAACAACCGGACGTCCGAATCACGTCAAACCAACTCCGTTTCTCACAAAATTCGACAAGCAAATCACAAATATAGTAATGGACTTATATCGGGTTCTAGAACTAAAATACGGACCCGATATCAATAAAGTCAAACATTGGTCAAACTTTCAAAGTCATTAAGCCTTTAAACTTTCAAATTTCAACAAAAAGCGATAACTCGAGTTAGGGACCTCCGAATTCGATTCCGGGCATACACCCAAGTCCCAAATCACGATACGGACCCATCGGGACCGTCAAATATGAGTCCGGGTCCGTTTGATCAAAACATTGACCGAAGTTAACTCAAATGGATTTTAAGGCAAATTTCATCCTTTATCTATTTTTAACATCAAAGCTTTTTCGAAAAAATACTCGGACTGTGCACGCAAATTGAGGAAGGCTAAAATGAGATATTTGAGGCTTTAAAACACAGAACTAGGTTCTAGAACTCTAGATGGCCTATCGGG